AAAAAAAAAAAAACCCAGCAAAAGATCACAGTCCAGTTTCTTAAGTTACAATTCCAAGGATCTTCTATACTATATTTTAATAAGAAATAAACCTTAGAATCAAGGCTGTACTAGAGAGTAGTCCCTTAGCAAAGTACTGCAGGCAGACTTTTTGTAAAGGCAGTTGAGAAAAACTTAGAAGGGTGTTGGTTCAAAACAAAGCATTTTCAGGATGTCATGACTTTAACCTTGCAATTCAGGCTGTTGAAATAATGTACTTCTGGCAAAGTTCACACCCTACGGTAGATTCAGTCACTCATAATGTGCTTGAAGGAACAGGGTATGGTGGTGCACACCTGTATTCCCAGCACTTTGGGAAGATTAGGCAGGAGGATTCCAAATTTGAGCTCAGCTTGGGCAATTTAGCAAGACCCTGTCTCAAAATAAAAAATTTTTAAAAGGGCTAGGGATGTAACTGGTCAAAGATCCAAGATTGAATCCTAAATACCAAGAGAAAAAATGTGCTTGAAGAGCAGTTGATCTTACCTGCTGATGAAAAATGAAAAGAGTTCTGTGCCTTGAAACTTACCAGCAAACTTCTTTTCTTGGAGAACGATAGTTGGTCTTTCTTCATAGTCTTAATCTTACCTCTTAGAAGATGGAATTTTTTTGTGTTTCTTGAACATTTAATTTTGAAATGATCCCAGGCTTTAACTAGTGAAAGACACAAAGAGGCTGGTCTTTTTAGAAACAGTTTTCAGTGTACCATAGAGAGCTAACTTGCTTCTCTTTTTCCACATGGCTGACCTCAAAAGATCTGGACGATTTGCCTCCATTGTCTCCATTGCAGCAAGTTTCTGAGGAGGAAGCTATTCAGATTATTGCAGACCCTCTGTTACCCCCTGCTTCATTCACACTTCGAGACTATGTAGATCATTCTGAGACTCTGCAGAAGTTAGTGCTTCTGGGTAAGTTTGACCTATGAGTACTTCTTGAGCACACTTTTTTTTTTTGCCCTACTTTTAAAATTAACATTTTAGTCTTTGTCAAAGTAGTCTACTCTCATGAGCAAAAGTAACAATGTGAAAAGGCCATATTCCCTGCTTCATTTTTCATGTCTGTGCATCCCATTCCCCAGATGATTCAACTTTTCCCACTCTTTCAATTTGTACTTAATCTCCACATTTTCAAAGCAATTATTTATTGTGCTGTTGCTTCATCAGTGTTAGACATCAGTTGATTGCTAATATATATGCATCAACTTTTCCCAATTCTCTTCAGTTTGCCCAATAGTTATAATTTTTAGAGAAATCATTAATCAGTGATTATATTCTGAGTTTAATATCACTAGTATTCTTTTTTTTTTGTCACTAGTATTCTTAACCAAAAGTATACTATTAATTTTCTTCCTGTACAACTATTTGTTTTCCTGGCATTAATAATTGCTTTGTTTTTCATTTGATTAGTTTTTTTTATGTCGAGGGTTGAATTTTCCCATACCTTCCAGGGACCTCTCAGGACAGTTTTTCAGTCCACCCAATCAAATAATGTGTTATTCTGTTTCTCCATAGTGCGCTGTTCCCATTTGCCATGCTACCCCCTGACCTCTCTCTCCTGAAGCCCACTGTCCTGATTTAGATAATTTCTCTCTAGACTTGCTCCATAACTATCTAAGCTTATTGTCTAGTAGGTTGTACTTGTATTATAAACAGCTAAGTTAGGTAAAATGTTATAGGCAGTCAGACAGAGCTAGGCCCTCAAGGGAGTCAGTGCAGAAGAGGAAAACACGTTACAACTGTGGCTGGAGTTTCATCTGTTGAGGGACAGGCCTCAAGATGGAGATAGTGTGACCAGGCCTGCATGCCTCCCCAAGGGATGAGCAATGAACTGGGGATAGTTTCACCCCAGTGGGTGGACAGAACCCCCTGGTTGTCTCTTCCTAAAAAGGTCCTCGTTCTTTCCATGCACGCGTGCTATGTGACCTGCTTCCCCATTGAATTCATATTACCTAAGCAGCTAGATTTGCAACCTTATTGGTTGATCATAGTTTTGTTCCATGTTGTACCCATCTCGAGATTTTGCACCTACCTTGTGATTTTGATATATAAAACTTCCTCTATCCAGTGGGATCCTCGGCAACCCATTTTTCAGGTCCCCTCCTGTCTCTCAGGAGCCACATCTGTCTTCCTCAATAAATATTTGCTACTCTTAACCTCTGTTGTTCCTTAAAATTCATTCTTTGGTTTTGAGGAACACAAACTCGGCATATCTGATATCTGGCAAGTTGAGAGTTACATTTATTTCCCCTATATCACTTGGAGCTGTATAGTTAAAAGGCAACCAGTGGATCTCACTGCACACTTCGATTTAGTTGTCTTACTTATAATTTAGCACCTTATTGCAAACTTCTGCTTTTCTCATTACCTCTGAGTGGTACTTCTCTTACTCGATTTTCCCAAACAATGAACCTCTTTTCTCCTGGGGGTTTGAGAGGAACAGAAGGGTAAGGGATTTGGGGGGTGGTATGGGTTGGGGGATCGTGAGTTCTCCATAAAAAGGTCACAAACTGGCCCCTGTTTTTAGCCTATAACTCAACTCTTTTAGGTCTCTGTGGACTCCCATTTTGAGTTTTGTGGTACAGGTTGAGTATCTCTTATCCAAAATGCTCGGGTCCAGAAGTGTTTCAGATTTTGAGTTTTTCAGATTTTAGAATATTTGTATAGACTACAATTTGAACATCCCTTAATCTGAAAATTCAAAATCTGAAACTTGGAGCATTTCAGCTTAACATGTTCCAGTCAGTTGGCCACTTGTCAGAATTCTAATTTGTAGGCATTTTAGTTTCTCCTTTCTCTTCTCTGGTAAGTCTGTTATCACTGTTCTATCTTTTTTCATATATTGTGGTTTGGAGATGTAGATAAGTCTTGTCTCATCAAAGAAGGAGCTGAGGGCTGGGGATTTAGCTCAGTGGTTCTACTGCCTGCGTTGCAAGCACAAGGTCCTGAGTTTGATCCCTGGTACCAAAAAAAAAAAAGGAGCTGATTTTTTGTCTTTCTCTCTCACACCACACACATGTATTTTAGCTGATTTTGGTCAAGAGAGGAAAAAAAATCTTTGCTAGAAACTGTTAGGGGTCATCTTCAATTCTTGATTTTTCCCCTTACTTGTTAGCTCTAATTTAGCACCTTATCCTGTAGATTCTCCCCTCTATCTTTCAAGGCCATCTGATTCTCTCCTGCTATAGTCACCTTTGTTTAGGGCCTCATTTGTCACTGAACTACAGCAGGTAGGTACCTCCTAACTTGACAGTTTTCTTATCAGCACTTTTGGCCCAGAAAATCTAGTGTCAGTGGGCTTTCTCATGTACATATCTTGTCACTGGGCTGGATCTGAGGGTCAGCAAGGCTGAAATAAGGAACATAACCCAGCCCTTTGAAATAAGTAAGCAGGTCTTCTGATACCCATCAGGGAAAAAGAATTTTCAAATTTTCAGGATACGGCAGTAAAAGAAGCAAGAGAAGGATTTATTAGAGGGAGATACAGGGGCCCAATACAGTGGGAACTGGGGATCTTTCAAGTGGAAATCTGTGGAGTTTGATAATCTATAGTCTTAGTCTTAGTGGGTAGGAGAGGATGGCCCACCTCTAGTGAGAGAATGTGGTCCATTCATGGGTGGCAGAGGACCATTTGCCTTTGGCTGTAAGGGAGTTGCCTAGGTTTGCTGTTTCAGGAGAAAAAAAAAAGTAAATAAATCAGGCTTGTGTTCTGAAGCAGCAGTTTTTCTTTACAATTTTTAAAAATCTTGATTCCTTATCTCCATTCTACTTAAGTCTTCTATCCCACCTCAGTCCTAAGTCCCCATCAACAGATCCATGGATGGATAAAGAATGTTCTGTGAATACATAATGATGCACTGTTCGGCCTTCACACAGAAGGAAATGCTGTTTGCAACATTTATGGACTTTATGCTAAGTGAAATAAGACAGAAACAGAAAGGCAAACTGTATGATCCCACATGTGAAAGCTAAAAAGCCAAACTCATAGAAACAGAGAGAAGAATTGCTATGGTGGGGAGCTATTGGTCAAAAGTCACAAGGTGTATGTTAGCAGCAGTACATTCTGGAGATCATGGTGCAGCATGATGACTATAGTTTATAATGTATTAATGTATTATTAATGTATATACTTGAAAATAGAGTAGATTTTTAAATATTCTCACAACAAAAAATGGCGTATGCAGTGGTGGATATGTTAATTGGATTGATTTAATCATCCAGCTGTGTGTGTGTGTGCGCGTGCTTACAAACATCTGATGTATTCCCAAAATATATACAGTTTTTAAAGAGTATTCTGTGAGTTCAGGGGTGAGAGATGGTGTCGCTGTGAGCAGAGGAGCTAGTCACTTTCCCTTCAGAGCAGCTTTCCTAGCCTGTGGCAGGTGCTGTGGTTGATGCATGGTGAACGTAAGACATGGACATGACTCTTAAATAATTTACAGTATATATATATATATATATATTTTTTTTTTTTTTTTTTTTTACAGTATATATTTAGAGCAGTAGTGGTGATCCTATGGCACACGTGCTGCAGTGGCCTATTTGTATCATTGAAAGCTCTAAAAGGTTCGCCATCCATGACTTAGAACTTTGAAAAATGTTTCAACCAATCCTTCCTCTGTATGCTGATGCCTCAACAGCACGTCCTAGAATTAAAGGAACCATGATTGCTATATCAGGTGATATTTTTGAGAGAAGTCCTGGTTCTTCTGTTTGCTTCACAGATCTGTTTCCTGCCTTTCTCAGCTTGTTCTGTATCCCAGAGGGCCACCTGGCTTCTGGGCAGATTGAGTCAGTGCAAGGTACCTGCAGGGTAAAGGCTAGAAGACCCGGGTGTGGGTATTTTTCCCCTGTTCCCTCTTTCTCTGGGTCCTGTAAATGCTCACTCCATGACAGCAGCCCCCAAGCAGCCCTTCCGTAATAGCTTCCTGCTCCCTCTGGGCTCAGGTAAACTCTTGGGCCGCCTCCTTTCTGGAGCTAGGAGTGCCATGTGTATTCTCTTAACTCTGTTCATGCCCCTGCATTGAGTCCCTTCATTAATCCATTTGAGCTTTGTGGGGCAGTGTCTGTTCCCTGCAGACTTAACTGATGCACTGGCTGCAATGGTAATATTTGTAGTTACTGAACTAATGAGATACAGCCCAACCACACTGGTCACTGAGAGGTTAGATCATGCATTCATCGTTCTCTCCCCAGTGCTTAGCAGAAGTACCTGGTCCACAGAAGGTACCTAGTGACTATTAAGTTAATGAAATCATGTGTGCACCCAAGTAATTTGGGTGGTGTGCTCTCCACTGCTCGTCCCTTCCCCCCATACTGGGGATCGAACTCAGGACCTTGCACTTGTGAACCAGGCACCGTGCTTCTGAGCCAAATCCCCAGCCCATGTCCCACTGCTCTCATAATGCAGCTCTTTGGGGTTTTTGCGTTGGTACAGTCAGGGTGTGACAGCTCTTGCTGAACAAGGCCTTCAGCTCATGTGAGCTGTGATATGTAGTTAAATGTGAAGTCTGAGTCCTTTATGTTATTTGTAATGCCCCCCTGCATCTCTCCCATTTATCACAGATCAGAAGTAGTTTCCAGCTTACTTTTTTATCCATCCAATAATTGGATGTTTTTCTATTACTGATTTCACATTGAAAAAAAAAAAAAATCTAGTTGTTAAAAGTACTATGATTATAAGAGAAAGATCTCTTATCCTACCTCCATCTCCATTTCCCGAAGGTAACCACTATGACCAATTTGTTGAATAGCTTTCCAGACCTTTGTCTAAAACAAATATGTGTCATGCAGAAAGTCATACATGGGGTTTATATTCTTCTGTAACTTACATTACTCTGAAAGTTGTGTATTTGTTTTTAGAGTAAATATACATTTAGGTCCTTTATCTGGAATTTTTGTATAAAATGCAG